CCAGAAACAGACCCTGGTCTCTTGACAGGGCATTACTTGGGACTACATTAGGTCTGAAAAGATAGGAAGAGCAGAATCTCAAGGGTTCAGGTGATTATATAGATTTGGTGATGGGAAGTTACATACCGACGGCATATGTTGGGCATTTGTCCAGAATGGGACCTGATCATGCTTTCTTTAACCTACTGGACTGTATTGACCTTAATCCCCTCTGAAGCAGCCTAAGTGGCATTTTTGAAAACAGGGTCATAGTTCCAAGCTCCTTTTCATACAGTTGGCAGCTCTGATCCTGTCCTCTCCGCCCTTTCCCCATTCCCAATTCTATTCATATTCAACCTGTCTCTTCCACAATAGGGTGTAGAATGCGAGCTACATCTCTTATAGTTGAGGTTGTCTCACATAAAGATTTCTCGTATAGAGAAAGAGTCACAGCACTCAGCTCTGGCCTTGATGGAGCAAGGTCCTAAGCAGAAGCAAGGCTGCTTGTCAAGGAAGATTCTGGCACTGAAGGCAGGGAGCCCTGTGGACCCTTCCCCTGGCCAGAAGGTCAGCCAGTACCTGCATGCTTGACACGGAAGACATAGTTCTCCCTTCAGTCAGCAGCACGAAGTACCTGTATTCAAGCATCTTTGAGCTTGAACTGACTGCTGACCAGCTGCTGTCAAATTCATGTCTGGACAAATTAATATCTGCAGAAGCCAGTCAGTAGCCTAGACCAGTACTGGTCAACAATGACCTTATTACTAATCCAAGGTGATAAGACTAACTGTGAAGACAATCTGGCAAGTTTTTTGTATAGCTAAATTTATTTGGTTTAAAGGACTCTGAGATTGTTTTTCCTTATCTTTGGTGTTAGAGGTCTTCCTATTAAAGGCAGTAGATGATTTTTCATTTTTAACGTTTCTGTCAAAACGAAAGTTGGCAATTTTATGTTGGTTCTACAAATTTGGGGGGGATGTTTTGCTGCTCCATGAAACACGTTTGGCAACCACTGATCTAAGAGTCTGGTATAACTGTACCCTGGAGCTTTCTTAACCTTGACACTTTTGACATTTTGAGCCAGATATTTCTTTGTTATGGGGGTGGGTTTTTCTGTGCATGATAGGATGTTTAGTAACATCACTGGCCTCTACCCACTGGATACCAGTAACAACCCACCCCACCCTGATGCAACAACTAAAAATGTCTTCAGACATTGGCCAATGTCTCAAGATGGGTTGGGGTGGATTTGGTGGGGGCTGTGCTCAAAATGTTTGAAAGTTACTGCTCCAGAGACATTGTAAATTTTGTTTTATTATAATTTTTATTTTATTATTTTCTCATAATGAATTTCTCTTGCAAAAAATGACAGGTTATGGCCGGTTGTATAGTGACCATTAATAAATGCAGGTAGCAAGGACAACAAGGCTATATAAAGTATATATGTATTTATTTATATTTTACTTTATTATATATTATAATGCCTTGATATATGTCTCATGAAGATGCTATAAGGTTTAATTGGCATTAACAAAGTATTGAAAAACACCCAACTAAAGCATATGGTAGATAGACATAGTATTAGTACACATAATAATATCTTGCATTTACATGTCACTTTTCACTTGAGACTCTCAATCCATTGATTCATTTGTTTCCTCAGTGTATGATTCTCAGTTTATCTCAGGGAAACTGAGGCACAAGCCAGTGTTCACCTGACATAATAAAATCAAGGAATTAATTAAGTCTGACATTTTCTTTATAATACCCTAATCACTTTTACTGTATTTTTATACATATTAAACATGTATTTAGTATATAGTAAATATTTATTTTTTATATTTTATATTGTATATACTTTATAATTTTTAAACATGTTTATTTCTCTTTGCTAGGCTGGCAGTCTCTTAGAAGTCGGGGCGAGTCTTCTTTAGCTGTGTATTTCTCAGGGCCTGCAGACTGTGGGCACAACATTTGTGGGCAACTGGCAGGCATTAGGGGATGCCAATTGTGTTAGCTCAGTTCTCCACAGAAAGTCTTTCATTATAGATTTATGGTTTCAGTGCTGGACTTTTAGTACAGAGACTGCTCTAAGTAAAGGAACATATCTGCATCTTTTGTAATAATCTAGTTATAATACAACTTAAAATTTATAGTACATTCTGACTCTCATGGACACTAATTATCTTTGCCTTCATGGGCTCCTTACTCCATTAAAAAAAGTTAAAAATGATAGTTTATAACTACACTGTTATAAAGATGGAGATAATCAAAGATGGATTATATTCTTTTTTTGCTGATTAAAAAATAGTTAAAAGACACTCTCATGTTTTATTTATTTTTTTTAATTTTTTTTTAAAAGATTTTATTTATTTATTTGAGAGAGAGAGAGAGAGAGAGAAACAGCATGAGAGGGGAGGGTCAGAGGGAGAAGCAGGCTCCCCGCTGAGCCGGGAGCCTGATGTGGGACTCGATCCCAGGACTCCGGGATCATGACCTGAGCTGAAGGCAGTCGCTTAACCAACTGAGCCACCCAGGCACCCAACACTCTCATGTTTTAAAACACTCTGTACCCTGGGCACTGTGCATGGCTGCTAGTGAAGAAGTGAGCACTAGGATTACACATTCAGAGGCTGACTGTGCTTTTCCTGTTCATTCTTAGGCTCCCAGGGAGATACTCTGGTTTTATTGCCTCAGGGAAGAAAGACCCAGCAGGCAACAAAAACACCAAATTCTTGGGTTTGGGGCTCAAAAACTTGGATCTTAGGATGACACCATAGATTTGGAAGAATAGTTGAAGAGCTGGGCTATCCTGTCCCATGGTAGATGAAGAGTTCATGGACCAAAGGTGGAGGGCACCAGAGAAGTTGAAAATGTGTGGGTTTGTCTAGGACCCCAAATTGGAAAGGTTAAGGCTTTAGAAATTCTCAAGCAGATGGGACCTAGCATTGCTTAGCCCTCCATTCCTAGGGAAATGATTTTGGAGCTGTTGAACTGTGGGGCTTGTTTGTATATCCCAAGCCCAGTGTGAGGGGGACATGAAATCTTCTTGAGGGACCAGGCAAACAGCTCAGGGATGGCATCTGTTTTCCAGGAACTCTGGGTTCTTGATGGCTCATGAAGGTTCTTGGTGGCTTAGATAATGGCATGCTTGTGGCAGAGTGCTAGTCTAAGCAAGAGTCTATGTGTCAGGACCAGAAGGGCATAGCAGAGATTTGCATGGATCCATAAAGGAAGACCACAGGAGAATGAGGAGATTTCCACCGATGTCAGCAGGGAGAGATGATGACAACAAAGATGGATTCTTGGCATTGTGGCACCACACAGGCCCTTGAGAGTGGGAAGAGATCCAGAATTGACCAAGATTAAGGTTTTTCCATCTTAGTGATATGAACACTTAGAAAATAAATTAAGTACAATTATGGAAAAAATAAAGTTGCAATTCATGTACACCAGAATTTTTTAAAGCTGGATTAGTATTCATTATACATAGGTGTTTATGATACTTTACAGTATTTGAAGGACCTTCTGCTTTTATTGTTTTCACTTTGCAAAAATCTTATTGGTCTTATTTCTGTCCTCATTTTATACATGTGGAAATGGAAACACAGAAAGGTTAAGTGAGTTGCCCAAAGTCACACAGCTAGGACTTGAGCAATAACTCAAACCCATGGCCCCATTCACTACCTTTCCTGGTTCTTGATGTTGTTCAGTATTCCACCTAAGGACTAAAGTGAGACCTTCCTGTGAGGCTCTCAGAAAATGCTGATATGGCACCAAAATGCTTTTAGTGTTTTGCAGTTTAATGCTCAGACGTGAGGAGGGCAGAGGGTTCACATGCCTGAGCTCTGTTGCTCCATCCTAGGCTCCCTTCCTGTGTTCTATGCAGTGTTCTGCTCTCATCTCAGAGGTGGAGAGGCAAGGGTATACTTTGAATGCAGTGCAGGGTCCCAGCCCCAAAACAGTGGGATGAGGTGGGGGGGGTCAGGCCCTAAAGGGCCTCCTGATTTAGATTAGCATGCCCTATCCAGATGAGTGGATGCTGTTCTGCTTCCATGACCCTGTGCCCACCTTGTAGAATTTTGTTTGTGTCTTTCACCAGGGTGTGAGCAACGAAGGCAGGGACTGCATCAGGCTTGGTCCCCATTGCATTCCCTGCCTGGCATGTAGTAGGTACTTAAAATATTGACTGAATGAACGGACAATTGGATGGATGGATGGATGGATGGATGGATGGATGGATGAATTTTGGGCTACCTCAGTATCCCTTACACAATCCTAGCCCTGTATCCCTCAATAGCAAGGCCCCTTCTGAGGGATGGTTGGGTTCAGCTTCCTTTATCTTACCCAAGAAAGCCATGTAAAAATAGCTGCTTCCACTGCAGGCCGCTCCACCTCCTTCTTCCTCCCCTCCTCCCAAATCTCTCCTTTATTATTGTTTCTATCTACCCTTTTAGTCAAGATATTTGGAATATTTTTCCCTCTTCCATCTACATGTTTTTTTCCAGCTTATGCTTAATTGTCAGCTTCCTTTAAACCCTCTTTAGAAGCAGGAAGCACATGTTATAAATCCATATGAGCAGATACTTTGCTCGTTCTCATTTTGAAAAAAACTTTCAATTAAAATTCATGGTAGAAAAAATTGCTAAAGTGGCAAGTTGCCTTTCTAATTTATTACCATGTCTTATTTTAGAATTTACTTTGGGTAACTAATGTACATTATTAAATAAGGTTCACTTTGGAGTCACTGAGTAATTGCTGTGTTGGATAAGTATTGTTTTTATGATATTATTAGTTTTATCACATGTGCTAAGTTGTTTTTAGGAAGTAGCCTCAGCGTTACTTGAAAAGAGATGGAAAATACTTTATATATCCCACATCCAGTGAATTAATAATTAAAACAATGTCACAAATGCCGTCAATTTTCATTGGATAATTTTTTTGAAAATTTTAAATGCAATACATGATAAAAAAAAAAAAAAAAGCTAAACCCCTTAACAGATTCTAATTTATTTTTCAAGGCACCATGACAGAGAAGCCTATCCAAAAGATTATGATATAGAGGGTCCTGAAAACATAAAAAAACTGTATAATTCAACATATTGGCGACTTGGAACTGATGAACCCCCAGTAAGTAGTTGCTGCTGATTTCTTTAGATCTTGAATCTTCTTCCTAGTGAAACGTGGAAAAATAAAGGGAGGAGCTCTTTGTTGGTGCCACCCCTCCATGCTGTGTTGGGTACTTAGGCAGGTGACTTAGTCACTGGATGCTTCAATGATGTTGCCTGTAAAATGTGCACATGTCATAAGGTTGTTGGAGAAATTAAATGAGATAAAGCAAATAAAGTGGTTGACTCAATGCCTGGCACATAGCAAGTGCTCAAGATATCATCCATGCTGTTATGATGCTGTTGCTGCAGCCACAGCATTTTGTTCCATGACTCCTTTAATCTTCACAATAACCCTGTAACGTAGGTGGTATTCTCTCTATTTTATAGAGGGGGAGAAACTCCTAGAGGTTAAGTGACTTAAAGTCCCCAGTTAGGGAGTTGAAGAGTGTGACTTTGAATCCATTTCTTTGATTTCAAGTCCTTTGTATTTGTCGTAAGGCAGTAGAGTTGTGAGTTATTAAAACACGCTAGTATTATTCTCCTAACTTTTGTATGACCCAGTTCCAAAAGGAATATTCATTGCATGAGTACTTCCTGTTTGAAGTGTCATGAGTGGGTTACTCCTTGGCTATTTAGGTGCCTGCCCAATTGGTGTAAGGCGGGAGCTCACCTCTCCAGAGACCCCCAAATTCTGTGTCCTACAGTGTCAAGAACTTTGGGCTAGTTGAAGACTCAGTTCGGCCTTATAGGATGACCTTTGGGCTGAAGAGCTGGTAATTTGACTAGGGCAGGTGCAAATGTGTTGAGAAGACTAGGTTTGTATCACACTCTGCCCCCAAAGGCAGGGCCATTTTGAAATAGGGCAAGCCAAGGAAGATCCATAATTCTATGTTGGCCATGGGTCTAGAAGATTCTCAGTTCTCCAGGGTGATGGGAATGATTTAGCTTAGCAGGGCTCATGCTTGTTTCTTCCTGCCTTTTATAGTTAACAATGGATAGAGAATAATAAGGATAGCCAGAAAAATGGACATTTATTATAAAGATGCAGCTGCCTGGAAATGGAATCAAGGACACTTACAGGAACCAAGACATCTCTAAAGCAAGACATCCTCCCCCCTCCTCTCTTTCTCTCTCTTACACACACACACACACACACACACACACGCACCAGTGTCTCATTGACATCCTGATTTTGTGCTGCTCAGTGTCTTTTTGCCCTACAGCTCAAATCTCAAGGGCATTCTGATGGTTTCCTCAGTTTCCACATTGGCCTCTTGCCTCTACACCAGGCTGCCTTTTTGGTCACTAGCCAGCGCATGGAGGGGTTCCCAAGTCTGATGCTCAGTTCTGTTGGTAGCCACTCAGCCCTGCCCCACCAAACCCAGCTTGGCCTTGCTTTCTTGAGCCATGGGGCTGTGTGGTCAGGACAAGAGCAAGTTAGGCAAAGCACACATTTCCTGGCATGCACTTAGCATCTTTGACTCTTAAAAAAACATTTATTTTTGATTTCCAAATGAAAATGTTCTTGGTCTCTGGGTTACAGGAGGAAGTTAGATGAAGTGAACTATGAGATGTAGGAACCTCAAACTTTCATTCTGTACATTATATACATTACAGCAGTCAAGACTCAGGTCTAATAGAGGTTATAGAAGTAAGATAATATTTGCCTTCTCTATGACTTTTGTTCATGGTCATTGAAATCTTGTCCTTATTGTTCCAGGTTTACAGATATATTAGATAGGAATGAAAATAGATCAAGGGGTCAACTATTTCTGACAAAATTGCTATTCTCATATCCTAATAGTGAGTTACATTTTTCTAGACTTTTTGTGTATAAAGCACTTGTTTCTTGCACTTCTCAACAAAGTTATAAAGTTGACAAGAAAGATATTATTATTCCAGTTCTAAACCCAGACCCACTGATCTTAAATGATTCACCCAAGGTCCCAGGTATTAAAAAGAGGGGGATACACAGAGACTTCATATTTTCATGTCAGGTGTGATGTTAGATGTAGCAGAAGGATGGTTGAGTTCTTCTTGCCACAGAGTTTTGATAGAGACCTAAATACTAGAATACTCTCAATAGTTGGTGAAAAACACACACCTTAAAGCAAGATGCTAGACCATCTAGGCAGGACCTGCTAAGATATTCTAAACTAGGTTAGGCCAGTATGAGTGATTATGTCCGTGAAGACTAGAGTTCAAGGATTTATTTCATTGTGGGATGCATGTCCCTTCTTCCTCAGTTGAGAGGTGTTTCAAGGAAATAAGAGAAATTAATATGTGTATCCTGGAACTTAGAGGGCTTAGGGTCCAGGTGTCTGACACTTGTGAAACAGCAAGGCCCACCTGCTGCAGGATTCCACGCCTAAAGCAGCACCCAGCTGGGAAGGTGAGAAGCTTAAATCTAATACAGTTAGCAATTTTGATGATTTCACTGGACTGGAAAATTTCATAACTAAAATGAGATCATTCTCAAGATTGAGGGGCCTAGAAAAGTTATGGGACTTGCAAAAAATTTCCATTAAGCGAAAGGAAAGAACTAGCCATCCGTGTGGGATGGAAGAGGCAGCTTGATTAAAATGAAGTTGCTTCATGATTGCATCCTACTGATGGGATAGGATCAATTCAATAAGATGGTTACATGAACAGTGCCTCATTTCATCCTCTGGACAACTCTTCAGGCTAGCACTCTAAGTGACCACATTGTGTAAATGAGGAAACCGAGGCCAGGTGAAGCTCGATCACTTGTTCAAAGTCAAACAGCAAGAAAGTGCATTAAAAATTAAAATCTATTTTTACCCTCTGGTTCCAGAGTCTAAGATCTTAAATACTTCTCAACCTGTCTCTTAGAGTGCCAAGTGGTTCCACTCCCAGCCTAGCGGCCTTTTTACCCCCCAAACACTGCATCCTCCTTGCAGAAAATGAACCTGATTATTTTTTTTGCTCTGGCTTGGGCATGTGTTGGGGCATTGGTTTCTTATGTCTTATCTATAGCCTCTGTCTTGTTTCCTGAATTATGTCCAGAAACATGCTAGCTAGCCCCATTCCCATCTGTTTCCTCTCCTACATGTCTTAGCATTTTTGGATTTTTGCAGTAATGCTGCTGAGTGGTTGCTTTTTTTTGACCATCAATATTTCTATTCCACTGTGTGAAGTTCTCCTTGCCCTTAAATGCTGCTACTGGGGCTAATGTGAGCATTGTTTATTTGTAACAGAATTTTAAATAGGCCTTTCTTTGTCTTTATTTTGGCTGAGACTCCAAAAGGCCACAAACAAATCCATAGTCCCATGTGCCAAAGTGAAATATTAGGCCACTTAGGTGAGACCCTCGAAGATGGTGCCCTTAGGTCAGTACTCACATGAAGGATATAAGAGGATTGAAATCCAAGAAACCAAAAGAAGAGTTTGAGAGTAGAAACAGGGTTTTGGAAAAGGTATACTGCGAATCTCATCTGCCTGGGGAAGGGTGCCTAAGTGAAGTTATAGATATGAGGCGCTGGTGATCTTTCCAAAGCAGCAGAGCAGAAAGGGGGGAACTAGCTACATGTACATCATTGGTGAGATAAGGATAATTGAGTACTCAGGCCCAGAGGTGGCTTTTGGGAATCAGATGTAGAAGAGAAATATGACAGAGAGCCATTTTAGAACCTGCCCGGGAGCGTCTCATGTAGCGATGGGAGGGACAGTGACTGGATTCCCAGGGGCTGAGGCAGGACAGTTAAGTCCAGACAATGCCATCCTGTGTCATGGAACATAACCATTGAATGTTTCCAGAAGGGATCTTAACAAATACAGAACATTCTAAAAAAGTCAGCTTTGAACATCCATCAGTGCCAGAGAGGGTCAGACATCAGACATGCCCAGAGGAAACCAAAACAAGAGTATACTTCTACCTTTCTTGCATTTGCCTCTCTCCTTCCTCGTATCCCACATCTTAAACCCTCAAGAAGCCAGAGGGAATTGAGAAGTAGGGAAGAATTTTAAGGGGGACAATTGAGAAGAAGCCAACTGTGCCCGCTTTTCCCACTGAGGTATGCCAGGCCAAAGCTGACCTAAACGACAGGAATGAGTCTTTCATTTCAAATGAAGTTTTGGCTACTACATGGTACTGGGGATTTTACTTACCTCGGTGAGACTTCTCTTGGGACAGAAGTAGCCAGAAGATGTTTGTATTATCTGAGAGTGGCATACAGGTCCTGGCAATTGTCCTGTATTTTATCAAGGAGCATAAAAAAGAATTCGCCTCTCCAAATATCTATGGATGGGCAGTGATAGAGGAAGAACAGATTTGTTTTCTGTTTGTACCTACTTACAAGTCCCACTTGTTCAGTGAGCTAGTTGCCCATTTGTATAAAAAAGAGCAGCCCATTCACATCATCCCTCCCTATCCCCTTTCCCTACTTTAGTTTTCTTCGTGGCATTTAAATCACTGGATATACTTAAGACTTCTTTAGTTGTTAATTGCACATATCTCTTGACTAGAATACTAGCTCCATGAGAGAAGGGACTTTGTTTTGTTCTCTGCTGTATCTCCAGTTCCTACAATGGTGCCTGGTCCAGAGTGGGTCCTCAATAAATACTTGTGGAAGGAAGGAATGAAGGAGAGAAATGAGGAAAGAGACAAAGAAAGAAGAAAAGGCAAGAAGGAAGGAAGGGAAGAAAAAATGGAGGGAGGAAAGAAGGAAAAAGGACTATATTCCACAAATATATATTGAGGCCCTATTATTTTGCTAAGTGCTGGCGTAAGAAACAATTCAAAACAAGGTCTCTGTACATCAGGAATTCACAGGCTTGTGGGAAAAGTGCAGGTGTACAACCACAGTGACAAAGTGTATGATGGATGCTATGATAGGAAGAAGATCAGGATATGGAGAGGGACGCCTGAACTGAAATGGGTTGAGGAGAGGATCAGGGATGGTTTCCTAGTGGAGGTGGCCACAGCGAAGCTCCTGAGCTAAAGGAACCATTAGTTGGTGAAATCTGGAAACATACCAGGCAGGTTTCAGTGGTGCCATA